ATACCGTAACCATTTAAATTTGTCACTTTGAAGCAAGCTTGCGTCAATGCATGGCCCTGTTCCGGTCGATGCATAACTCAATTTTTTGCATAGTTTTGCATTCGTGTGTGCTCAGGTCGACCCCCCTCCTGCTCAGGTCGACCGTTCGCTGACTTGTGATTAATTTTCTGATCTGCTATGTTTTAAAATGTTGTTATACTTGTTAGTTAGTCAAGGCATCATACATATTCATTTTATCTCATCATTTGAACAGACAACAAGAAAAGTGAAAGATATACACTGAATTGTTCTCATAATCTTCATCCTCATTATTGCATTTTTTATCAACAATTACACATAATAATTTTTGTTGATCTGTTGCATCATTGAGGTGGTAACGTCTAAACATAGGATTATATATCTAGTTTGGGTTAAGATTTCAGTAAGTTTTTCTTGAATAAAACCGTTAGGGTTTTGTCCTCCAAGATCTTAAGGATTTGGGGGGTATTTGCATAGATTTTTGCTTCACAAATTTAGCCGAGCAAAAGGGATTAAAGAATGGTGGTTTCGTTCAATCAAGTAGCGTTAAACGAAGGATTATGCAAGAAAGATTTGGGTTCGAACTATGTATGATCGATCATTCGAGTGAAAGGTTTGAAGACCGGTGGTGTTGTTCAGGCAAGTAGCGGTAACCAGAGGTTTTTTTGACACGTTCGAGGCACTTGAGTCGATTTGAATCAAGGGGAGAAAAGACATAGTATCGACATCAACAAATAGGCTTGAGTGTATGATGACTATTGCTTTACTTGTATAAACTTTTGCAACAAGATAATACATATCTCAATTTTAGTTTTAGAATTGGGGGCAGACGTACCTTAAGCGAGGACGAAAGCGGAACTGCCTAAACAAATCCGATGTTGTTCTCTATCTCTGTATTTTTGAATTGTTCACATTTGTGTAATATCAATTTATCAATAAAGTTCTTCTGTAGTGTAGTGCTGAAAATCTAGTTTGAAAACTCATTACAATCACTTGAGTTGTAATTGCAAAAATTATGCACTTATATTACATAGGAAACAATACTTGGGGTGTTTTGCACACCAAGTGCTCGACGAATTGATTGCACATAAACTGTTTGCGTTATTTTCAAATTAAGTTTACACTTTATAAGTCATAGGAAATTGGACAAACTAGAGCGCTATTATTTGTATTGATTAATCATCAAACTATTGATTATGTTTCTCATTAGATTTGTTGTTTCATTTGGCTTGTCGCATATCTGATCTTTTCGATAACAGTTTGTTTAAACGACTTGGTTCCTCGGCCACTTCCGCATAATTTTTTAAAACCAAATTTTTTAAGCGCTGACTCTTGTAATAAATAAGTGATCTATTCAACCCCCCTTCAAGATCATTTTCATCGTCTAACATATATATATATATATATATATATATATATATATATATATATATATATATATATATATATATATATATATATATATATATATATATATATATATATATATATATATATATATATATATATATATATATATATATATATATATATATATATATATATATATATATATATATATATATATATATATATATATATATATATATATATATATATATATATATATATATATATATATATATATATATATATATATATATATATATATATATATATATATATATATATATATATATATATATATATATATATATATATATATATATATATATATATATATATATATATATATATATATATATATATATATATATATATATATATATATATATATATATATATATATATATATATATATATATATATATATATATATATATATATATATATATATATATATATATATATATATATATATATATATATATATATATATATATATATATATATATATATATATATATATATATATATATATATATATATATATATATATATATATATATATATATATATATATATATATATATATATATATATATATATATATATATATATATATATATATATATATATATATATATATATATATATATATATATATATATATATATATATATATATATATATATATATATATATAAGTCTTCTGATGCACGAATCTAATCATGTATCAAAATACTCACTTTGCTACTTTCAAGTAACGCCACATAACTTATGACCAAACTCGATCAGCAACTTAACACATGTGTTGCAGACTTTTATTAATTTAGCCATCATTGTAGCACCTCTAATTTTTATTTTTATTTTATTCTCATTAGTGGAACACTCATTTGCATGAGTGACGCTAGATGAATGATCCATTTATGTACAAAACAATAACACATTAAACCTTTAGAGTTTAGGTCCTTAACAACAACAACATCATTATACCTAACATATCTCAACAAACCTAACAACATTAGCGTTAAAATGATGTCAAATATCATTCTTAACTCAAGTCTACTTATATATCCTCAAACATTCAATGCAACTACAACACTAAATATTTTCACTAAACCTTCAATAACTCAATAACAACAACAACAATAAACATTCAATAACTCAATAACAATAACATTAACAACAATATCTCAATTACAACAAAATTTTAATATCTCACTAATATAAAACCTTCAATATCTCATTAATAACAAAAATAAACATATCACTTATCTCTAAAAAACAACTAAGATAAAACCTTCAATAACATTCTCAACAATAAAATTAAACTTAACATATCTCAACAACACTATTGCTATATGCATGGTGGAGATATTTTATGTACCAGAAATCAGATGAAGAAGTCAAAGAGCTAAATATCGTATGTGTTTCGTCTTTACTTCATGCTAGTATCGTTTGAGTTTCTCCTTTGAGTTTTTTCTTCGTATTTCCTTGGTTTGTACGAGTTGGAGAGATATTGATGGAGTTCGACCATGTTTATTGAAGAACTAGTTAGAGAAGATATGATGGTGAAGAAATGGAGATTATGCGATGGTGAACGAGTTGGAGATGATACATGTTTAAGGCTCTCGTTGTTAATGGAAATGATAAACTTGTTAGGGCTCAAAGTGATTCTCGTAAACATATTTAAATGTGATTTTTGTAAGGCAAGGGAAAGTGAAGAGACCTGACAAGGTAAGCTCTTTTTTTTAAATAAGAGTAAACCATTTCACCATGGTTGGAAAATCTAACCGTTTTAAAATTTTATTTATTTATTTTAGGTTTAATACCTTTTTAGTACTATATCTTAACCATAAGGTTCATTTTGGTCTCTTAACTCTTCGAAACATACAATGTTAATCATTTTTGTCTAATTAACGATGAATTTAGTTATTGATTTATATTTTTTTCGTCGTTAATCAAACAAAAAAGAATAACACAATACATTTTAAAAAGTTAAAGGATTAATATGCACATTTTTTTAATCAAGAGACCAAAATAAACCTTAAAATTAAGATACGGAACTAAAAATAATATTAAGCATTTATTTTAGTTTGAACAAAGCGACAATTTTTTAACAATTTTATAATTAAAAAAAAAATAAAGCATAACATTTCACCACTATTGGAAATTCCAACAGTGAAAAAAAGTCATTTGTTTTTAGTTTAAAAATAAAATTTAAAAAATATACTACTATAATATTAAATAAATCACAAATTTATCATTGTTGAGATTCGAACTCATGATCATTTTAAAATTTCTCCACAATTCATATTTTCAATCCAAGTAAAAAAAATTAAAAAAATTAAAGACACTAAATTTCTAAACCGTCACAATGTTCTTTTGACAATGTATTATTTTTAATAGTGTAATCATCTAATAGATTCACATTTTTCTCTTTTTTGAATAAGAAATTGGAATGGTTAAACCCCTTACAAAAAGATTACAAAAGAGTGAAATGATTACAAAGAGAGTATATTTCACGTTCCTTAAAATATGGGATATGATATTCTTATACCAAATTCCTACACATATGAAATATTATAATAATATTATTTTATTTAAAAAATATTATTTTTTATTTTATTTTTTATTTATTATTAAAGAATATCAGTGTAAAATCATGTGATTAATTAACTTCATAACTACATTAACCAACTAATTACATTGTATTAATCAATTTTAGTGACAGTTCAAAATTATTTTTAATTGTTAGACGTTTATTAATCAATTTTATAACTACATTAATCAACTTTTTACTTTTTATTAAACAACTTTGATTTACTACTAAAAATTATTTTTAATATCTGAACGTTTATTAACGAACTTTATTATTTCATTAACTAATTTTTTACATTTCATACCAACTTTGTTTATTCTTAAAAAATCATTATTCATATACTACTGTACACAGACACTATTCACACATATATATATATATATATATATATATATATATATATATATATATATATATATATATATATATATATATATATATATATATATATATATATATATATATATAGTTCACCTGATACTGTTTATCTATTATTCCGTATTGTTCACCGTATTATAGTATTACATTGTAGTGTATGCTTTTTAATATAAGCATAGCATTGTTAGAATATATCTCTCTCGGATATTGAGTTGAGAAATGTACACCAACTTAATACACATACTTTTTCCAATAAATGAGGAGTGGAGGGAAAAGTCTCTACCATAAAGAATAGTAAACATGCAAATACGAGCAAACCCAAAAGATGTAGTCGTGGAGAAATGGAGTCCATGAATGCATGGCAAGCCAACATAATAACAACCATTCATTCTTTCATTTTCATTCCAAGCAAAGTCTGAATTGCTAACTATTCTTTTCAAACAAAAACTCATAGACATTTCAACTCTCATAGAATTGTCAACATTCAACTCTGCATATTAATTCCGTTGCATATCTTTAACTCTTCATTATACATTATATATATGATTGAAACCACTTCCACAATCCATCAAAATCTCTAAACTCTATCTTAATTACTTTATCATTCTCCACCTTTGATATGGGTTTAGTATTTGGAAAAATTGGAGTAGAAATACCAAAGTATGAAGTTATCAAAACCACACAAAACTATGTTATCAGAAACTATGCACCTTCTGTGGTAGCTGAAATAACCTACGATCCATCCGAGTTCAAAGGAGACAAAGATGGTGGCTTTAAGGTTTTAGTTGATTACATAGGAATATTCGGTAAACCCAAAAACACCAAAACCGAACAAATTTCCATGACTTCACCGGTTATCACAAAAGAAAACACAAGTGTTTCATCAGAAAAGATAGCTATGACAGTACCAGTGGTGACAAATGAGAAGAACAAGATGGTGACTATGCAGTTTACTCTACCAGCTAGTTATGGAAAAGTAGAGGATGCACCTAAGCCTATTGATGAGAGGGTTGTGATAAGAGAAGAAGGTGAGAAGAAATATGGAGTGGTGACGTTTGGAGGAGTTGCAAGTGATGAAGTGGTGAAGGAGAAGGTGGAGAAATTGAAACTGAGTTTGGAGAAAGATGGTTTTAAGGTTGTTGGTGATTTTGTGTTGGGTAGGTATAATCCACCAATGTGGACAATTCCAATGTTTAGAACTAATGAGGTTAAGATTCCTGTTGAATGAATATATATATATATATATATATATATATATATATATATATATATATATATATATATATATATATATATATATATATATATATATATATATATATATATATATATATATATATATATATATATATATATATATATATATATATATATATATATATATATATATATATATATATATATATATATATATATATATATATATATATATATATATATATATATATATATATATATATATATATATATATATATATATATATATATATATATATATATATATATATATATATCAATTTATAAGTTTTTAAAATAAAATAAAAAATGGAAATAAAAATTTACTTATATAGCTTGTATTTTTTAAAGATATTTTTGTGTTATTAATATGCTTTATTTTTTTTTTTACACATTTTATGTAATTAATAATTTTTTTAATATTATAATTTATTTTTTCTATAATACTTTTGATTATTTACTAATTTAATATATTTGTTTTTATCTCTATAATAAGTATCTATGGGTATAATAGACAAATATATAATTAAAGTTGAAATAAATTTAAAAAAGAAATAAAAAGAAATTTTTTTGGTTACAAACTATAAATAATAAAGAGCAAAAGTAGTAGTAGTAGTTTTTAGAAAATTTTGTTTTTTTTTAAGCAAAAACTCAAATAAAATATATAAAAGTAGTAGTAGTAGTTGAAAAGACACAAATGACTATTTTAGTATCAGGATCATCAAATCTTTTATGTAAGAAATCTTAAAGATCAATATTAAAATTATTTGATAGTCCAAATTGAGTCATTTCTTAAATGATTATAAGACTAATCAAAATGGTAATTATATGTGGCACACATGGACTTATAATATGGATTTTATAATAAAGATATGGTATTAGGTTTGAAAAGAATCGCAAGTTTAAAAAAACAAATAGATGCACGGATACACTCGTATACAAGAAAAATGAAAATCGCAAACTAGAATCGCAAGTTTTTAGAAACTTTATTTTTTTTAAACAATTATTTTAATTTTAATGTTCACAAAATAAATAAATAAAATAAATAAAAAATATTGAGATAAAGTAAATACACAAAATAAATAACATAAACATCAGAAAATAAGAAAATAAAGAGAAAAGTGATAGAGAAATGACAATAGAGATTTATACAATTTTGACCTAACCACTTGATCTATGTATGTCATTAAGAGTTTCTTCTTGAGAATTTTACTAAATCATTTGAGCTTTTTACATGATTTGCCCACGAATCTCCAACAAAGAAAAAATAGAGCTTTTATAATGATTAAACTCAAGAACCTATAGGCAGAACTTCTTTTACACAGATCATACTCAAGAACCTATAAGGAAGGTTTTATCAGGTTTATCTAGCAAACACTACTAAATAATTCCACAAGCAAATCATATTCTTGTAAACAACTAATTAGAGTGCAACATTGATTACAACAAAACTCCCATGGGAGTTTTTTCGATCTTTTGGCATTACGACAACCTCTTTCTTTTAGTGTTTCACTGTAAAACTATAATGAGTAAGTGTAACTAATTCTCTTTTATTGGAGTTAGGTGTACTCATCTTTATTCTTATATATTACTTATGGTCATGACGTTTTATCTAATTCTACTTAAACTTTAATATTGATGATTCTTCGTTCTTAATACTTGTTTTGAATTTGCTACCTAAAACGTGTTATCGTAGTATAACTTAACATACTATACATGCTGATCGTTACTAGGTCCAAGTCTCCGTCTATTGTATGTTAATGCCTAGAGATAGGGTTAAGTTTAATATCTGCATAATATTGTTAATTAACTTTAATATCTTTATTCACTGTTGGAACTTAATGATATTGTATTTAATAGCGTGAGAGATCACCTATTATGTAATACATCTGATATCATATCGTTGGTGTCAAAGATGAGTTGTGTTAAGAGCAATAGGTTGACGTATTAATAACTGAGTAAAAAAATATATTACTTACCAATGATTATAGATGAGGACAAGAATGATGAAATTTAACCCCAATAAATTTTTTAATTGTTAACACCGAGATTTCAATTTATTTTCAGTCATTTAATATTCCGTATCAAAAAAAATTATAAATAATCCTTCCTTAGAATCACAAAAATTGTTGAATCAGTCTTTAAAACACAACCAGTATGTGTGGATATGATGATATTGCACTTGCTATTTGCATTGTAAGACAATGGCGCCATTTTCGGGGACTCGTGTTAGTTTTTATAGACATCACAATGGTTTTTATCATTTTAAGTTTTTTGTTCATATCTTTGAATATCTATATATTTTGTTTATAGTCACTAATAATATTAGCTAGTTTTTATCTGTTTATGCAAATAAAGGATTTTGCATTACAACTTTTGTTCAATCCCAAAATCGAAAGAACTAGACGTTAATATCAAAAAGGAAAAGTTACAAGTTAGTTTGCAAGATCTAGAATATTTTTTTGTATTAAAATAGGAAAGCGCGGTAGCTGCAAAGAACAACAATAATAAGAACAACAATAATAACAATCATGGAAACATTATTGGTAGCATGTCATGCCACAATAGTTCAAGACGTCTGGCACACATAGCTACACCACATAAGAATGCCCATCAAAATAAAATGAAAACGAAATTGTTACAAAATTTATATGTTAAATCTCTTGCAGGTTTTGATCACGAAAACTCGTACACACACCTCACGAAGTTTTACGGGATTGTTGAGACACTAAGAGTCCTAGAAACTGAAGAGGAAACATTATTCCTAATATTTTCCCCATATTTTCTAATTGAAAAAGTATAGGAGTGGTATCTAGATCAACTAACATCAAAAATGACAAATTAGGATATGTTGGAAGAAAAATTCTTAAACTGAATACTTCCTTACAGCAATAAAAGGCAAATTTATTTTAGAGACGCGACATCGTCACGCAGTAACAAGTTAACACAAGATGACATACATAAAAGTCAAGGAATTCCATCAAGTGACTTATGAGACTTTATATTTGAGATGTTGCTGCTACTGTGAGACCAAACACAGGATTCACCAGAAAATGGATTTCTCTATCAAGTACTTGCTTCCAAAAATCTCCAGGTTCTTTTGTCTTCAAGCCACCACCAAGACTCCCTTAAGCTTTACGCCTCGTTACCAAGACATTCCGGCCCGGGACTCCGTCTTCATCCTGTTGCTTTGTCGCCATTTCGGTTGTCACGCGTACATGAAAAGAAAAGAAGGAAATCATTAGTAAACATCTCGAAAGTCCGATATTCTCACGATGATTGATAATCTGTCAGACATAAAACAAGTGCAAACCCAAATACATGACATACCATGAGTAAATATCGATAGTTTGCCAACTATTCCCTTGTTTACATACTGTACTTACTTCTGCGCAAGATAAAAATGAGTAGATTCTTACAAATTACATTTGTTTAGCACGAGGACTATGCAAGTGCTCACAAAATAGCTATTGCACCCGCTTTGTTGAGCCACATTTGGTGAGTTTTATGACGTGTGGTCGCTAATCGGCAGCATCTTTTCTTTGCACCAAAGTGACGAAAGTTTGAAGCAAATTGTTAGCCATGGTCATGTCTTCTGCAAAATACAAAAGGAAATCAGTCGTGAATATTTGGTATCTCAACCAGCACATCCAAAACTTCTACCTACAATGCCTATTCCCTGTCAAACAACATCACCAAGAAGTTTCTGAAACAAAGTATGGTCTGTAGTGAAGGGAAGAGCACTTATTCAGGTTTCGAAAACATGTCCAAAGGAAACAAGTCAGAAAGGAGAGCGAATAGATGTTGGCTGCACCAAAAAGAACGTAACTCAGCTGACAGCAAAGCATTCTAAAAATAAAAGTTGAATTGAGAAGAGAACGAGCACAGTGATTTTGTCTTACCTTTGCTTGTCGTCACTAATTATGCGGTATGACGCCGTTATCTAGGCACTTTACGGATGAGGTAAACATTATAGAAGAAGTTTCTGAGACCAGATATCCTTGATGAAGTTAAGACACCAGGACAGTTAAGAAAATTGGAAGTGAGCTTTTCTTCAAGGATGTATTCCCGTTCTTTCCAAATAGGTCCGACAGCCATCGACTCGTGAATCCCAAAACCAATTCCAAGAATACCCTGCACATAGGAGGAATCAACATCAATAAACCGCTGACAGGACAATCACCAACAAGATCAAGCATAAAAGGAAGCCTTTAATCTGTCGGTATCGAAATGGAAGGATTCAAGCACTGTCATTTTGTTTCCAAAACTTTCTGTGACAGCATTTAGTTCGGTTTCCAAATCAACAAATTCGAAACCGCAAACGAAGGAGAGGGTAGAGAGAATGAAGGCTAATCCACGGGCGATTCCTAGTGCAATGAGGTGTCACATTGGCCAATTTAGAACATGGCCATCTTGGTGAGAAGCTTCTTGGAGGAGAGTTGCAAGGTTTCTGTTGGGCATATATTCATAGGCCTAGAATCGTATATCTGGTGGTCCTGCATAATAGCCTTTGAGAACAGTTAAATTTCTGTGCTTTATTTTGCCTAGCGATTCAGCTTCTTAACAGTACATGTTCTCATCAAATGATCCATCAGGGATCCTGCGAATGGAAAGGACCATTCCATCATTGTAACAGACCTTGAATACTAATCCATACCTTGTTCTGCTTAGTACATTTTCTTCGTTAAACGGTCTCATTGCTTCAATTGTTTCTGGAAGTGTAATTTTGGTGTTGAACATCACCAGTTTTGGGCCACCGTTTTCACTGCTACCACGACCTCCACTTGCTCCTGAACTTCCTCTTGCAGGGCTTCTTTTCTTCTCCCTAGAAACCCTTTCTTTGAGCTTCTTGCACCATCTCCATAAGCTGAACTTCCTCTTTTTGTCCCTATTGTCAAAAATGGTGATATAAACGGGCAGGTCCAATGGACCTAACCCGTTTTACCACCCCTATAGTTAACTATATTCAATGTGGTGTAATTAATCGGTCGT